ACCATCAGGAGTCTCTTTGAACATTTTTGGCAAAAGAAATGGAAAAGGTCCTAGGTGGTGGGGAGTGAGGTGGATGTATAGGAAGAAAAAAGGAAAACATAAACATTATGCATTGGAATTTAGAGAAAAAACTTAATGTATGGATGTGAGCAACTTTAATATTTTTCTGTCTACCTGAAACCTGCCTGACAGTGGTTGTGTTGAATGATGATGGCAAAAGTTGTCCTAATATTAAATAAAACGTATTTGGACTAGAAGGTCCCTTCCAACTCTGTTATTCTGTTATTTGTTATATATTACAATGTCCTAGGTCATTGTCCTACAAATTTACAGAAGCAAATATTACCCAGCTATCCAATGCTGTATCTTAATGATAAAGCCGTGGTTTGGTATTCTACTTTTTCATACTTGATGTTCATACTTTCCACACTGAGTTTTCTGAAGAACTCTGTGAGTCATGGGGAAATACTAAGGCATCTTCCATGTTGTTATCAATTCACTTATCAAGGTCTGCGGTCTCATTGCTTCACTGTCAGAATTAAAGTGCATTGTACAGTATCATACACCTGTGGCTATATATTGCAACAAATGCCTGTTCTGTAATCTTGTCACTGAGACACTCCTAGTAGGTCTCCAACCAAAGAACTTAAAGAGTAGGTGTAACAAAATTGGAGACTATTTGACTGTCCACTATTACAACTATGAAACAGTTAATTAAGCGAGAACCTTTAGACCACAGGTTCCCCCCAAACCCAGGGCCATACAAGCAAGCAAAGCCCCATCCTCACATGCACAGGATCCAGGCAGTGTGCAAAACCACACACACACACACACACACACACACACACACACACACACACACCAGTCCGCAGAAAAACTGCCCTCTACAGAACCGGTCCCTGGCATCCAAAATGTTGGGGGGCATTGCTTTAGACATCGTTCATGCTCTAAACACCTCACAGCTCAATTATTGCAATGTGCTGCCCTTGAAAATTACTTGGAAACTTCAACCAGCCCAGAATGCAGCATCCTGGGCCACGATGAACATGCCTTAGTATGCCCACATAACACCTCCATTTGCAATCTGTACTGTTTACCAGTATGATTCTGGGTGTGATATAAGTGATGGTTATATAAATCTTTATGTGACAAAGGGCCTGATTATTTATAGGACTGCATATCTATCATTTTTTGGGGGGGGCAGGGGGTTTACATCTTGATAGATTTGACATGCTCTTGGGTCTTTCAGTTGAACAGTGTAATCTATTAGGACCCAAGAAACATGCCTCCTGTATCATGACATCTTCCCTGGAATCAGAGCCCCCCGAGATCCGTGTAGTTTCCACTCTCTTGGAGTTCCATAAGACCTTGAGAGCCTTGTTCTCCAAGAACTTGGGTTAAGATGGATTGAGTTCCTTGTTGGATGTGTTTTTGTCTGTATTTTCAATAGAGTGATAGAATCACATCTTATTTTTAAATTAAATTATGAAATTAATTAATTAATTAAATTAATAATTACATTATTAAATTAATTAAATTAAATTAGTTTAAAATTGGATAATCATTTATTTGAAATGGTATAGGGCTTTCTGCTTGAGCAGGGGGTTGGACTGGAAGACCTCCAAGGTCGCTTCCAACTCCGTTATTCTATTATTCTGTTAATTATTTATTATATTCTGAATCAGCTAGAGTTGACTTGCAGTTGGGCAGCACCTACATGGAATTAAATAATTAAACAAATAAATAAATAACTCAATTAAGAGAGTTAAAACTTATGTTTCTTGGATGTCTTTCAGCTTAATTTGCAACCTTATCCTGTTCATCAATAAATTAACACCACTAAGTTGACTGGGGTCTGTTCCGTTAAACATACAAGCATTTGAAGCTAAGTCGTAACGCGTGCAACTTTGAGGAATAATAGTTGAAATAGAATACCGTATGACACCAGAATAGAAACATAAGAAGTGAACTGGAAGATTAAAAAATGAAGCACATGCTCAAGATCTTCAACATTAAAGGAAGATGACTAGGAATATTAAATATGGAACGATCTGGAGATAATTTGAAAAAGACAAGGACGCAGGTAGTAGCTGTAATGCTAATGCCTACCCTAACTCCATTGCCAGCCCTGTTTGTGAATGTGAGTTTTTTACTGTTATTGAGTTTATACACAGAAACACCGTGAAGTCACTTTCATTTTAAAAACTGTAATATGCATACATGAGTCAAAATTACATCAAGAATCTTAAAAGAAGCTTGGATTATGTGTCAGTCTGAGTCATGTGAAGGCTGGGATAAGTCATATTCTTTTGATATTCTTTATGGAAATGACTTCTATGTACGCCCTTGAACAAAACTGCAGAAAGAGACTTTCAGAATCTAGTAGTGCTGCAGTGCTTATTGGCCTTTTGGTTAAATCAAGTCTAACAATATAACAGCCAAATCAGAACACTGAACACGACAGTTTTATGAAACTTACTGAAGTTTCTTATCCTTGTTCTGAATATTCAACTAAGATTTTTTTATATATATAAAAAGATTATTATCTAAAGAGTTATCTTCTATTCTGTACACAAGCTTTATTTTCGGATATGTTTCCAGCACGTTGTATCAGAAAGCACGCAAGCCTTTAGAAGGCCGAAAAAGATTTCGATATGGCTTCACACCAACAGGTAGAGCATCAACAGAAAATTGGTCATTCTTTATACCTCACAGTCTCATCCTCTGCAAAGTGACAATTTAAAATTTAAAAAAGGATGGAAGAAAGTTTATTTGTACAAGGAACTAGAAATGGATAGCTAAATGAAATTATAATTAATACTGTATATTAATTAAAACAAGTTACGAAGAAAACTTGTTGGAAAAATAATAACATACAGGTAGTCCTTGACTTATAACCACAAGTGGGACTAGAACTCTATTTGCTAGGTGATGCGTGTCTTACATAAGTCATCATGTGACTGTGATGGATTTTAAAACTTTTTTTGCCATGGTCGTTAAGCAAATCACATGGTTGTTAAGTGAAACTGATTTCCCCCTTGACTTTGCATATTGGAACTTGGTGGGGAAGGTCACAAATAGTCATCATATGTCCCGGGGATCCTCTCATACATACATACTGCCGTGTTTCCCTGAAAATAAGACCCTGTCTTATATTATTTTTGCCTCCAAAAGAGGCATTAGGTCTTAATTTTGGGGGTGTTTTATATTTTTTGTGAAATCTGCCTCGCCTCATGACAGCAACACCAACAGCCCCGTCCAGCAGCCCGCGTGGCTGCCAACCCATTTCTGCTGCGGCTTCCTGCCCCATTGCGGCAGTGAGGTGGGACAGAGTGGCCAGGGTCCTAACTAGGGCTTATTTTGGGGGGTATTAGCCCCCCCCAATCAGGGTAGGTCTTAGTTTAGGGGAGGGGTTTATTTTCATGGAAAAACGGTAGTTGCCCAGCACCTGAATTGCAAACACATGACCTTGGGGATGCTGCAATATCATAAGTGTAATGACAGGTCATAAATCACTTTTTTTCAGCACAGTCATAACTTTGATCAGTCTCTAAATAAATGATTGTTAATTCAAGGACTACCTCTGTAATATTACTGATATGAAGACTTATAAATAGTATAATTTTGAACAACAACAAAAAATCGGAGTTAAGGTCCATGGAAGCAGAGCTGTCATTGGGCCTTTTATAATTCAAAACTGCACAGGCAGTTATGGGAACACCCATGTTTGCCCACATTACGCCACTCCTCTGCAAGCTGCTCTGACTCTCAGTAGGCTTCCAAACACAATTCAAGGTGCTGATTATGACTTATAAAGCCCTTCGTGGCATGGAACCAGGTTATTTGCAGAATCATCTCTCTCCAGTTCTTTCTATCTGTCCCATTGGATCTAGCAGGGTTCCAGATCCCACCTGTTAAACAATACCACCAGGTGGAACCCAGGGAGTTTGCCTTCTCTACTGCAGTGCCTCTCCCCTGGAACACCATGCACATTTGTGGGGCCCTGACCCTGCTAGCATGTCATAACTCCTTGAAGATCTGGTTGTTCATTGAGCATAAAGTCTGGAGGTTAGGTGTAATTTTGTGCTGATTTGCTTGCTATCATTGGAGTCGGTTTGCCTGCCATCAGTTCATTAATCATTGTGGTTTGTAATGTTTTTGTTTTTATTTAGCCAGGGTGGCACAGTGGTTAAAATGTACTATTGCAGACTTATTCTACCCACTGCCAGGAGTTCGATCCCTACGGCTCACAAAGTTGACTTAGCCTTCCATCCTTCTAAGGTTGGTAAAGTGAGGTTCCAGATTGTTGGGGGCAATATGCTGATGTGTAAACCACTCAGAGAGTGCTGTAAAGCAGGGGTCCCCAACCTCCGGTCTGTGGATCAGTACCGCAGCATGCCAGCAATCGGTCCGCACAAACAAGGAAAGCTCCATCCGCAGGATGCAGGCAGCACACAAAATCACACCCCCTCCGGTCCACGGAAAAACCTCTCTCCAGGTAACCGGTCCCTGGTGCCCAAAAGGTTGGGGACCTCTGCTGTAAAGCGGTATATAAGTCTAAGTGCTATTGCTATTTGATCTTAATCCTTTGTGCACTGCCCAGGATTGCAATTGTAAGATGGGCAGCTATATACAGTGCATACATTTACAGGCATTTCTAAAATATTGTTTTCACTTGGTCATTATGGGGTACTGAGTGTAGAGTAATTGTGCACTGCCTAGAATTGCAATTGTAAGATGGGCAGCTATATACAGTGCATACATTTACAGACATTTCTAAAATATTGTTTTCACTTGGTCATTATAGGGTACTGAGTGTACAATAATTAAAAAAATGAATTTCAACAACTGTAGAATCAGACCATAGCATAACAAAATTGATAAAAGTGAAAGGGGTCTACAGTGCATTCAGAATACTTTCTGAAAGCACTGTAACCCCAATAAATCCAAAAAAACCCCCCATTCTAACAGTACAGGAGTACAAGCAAAGAGGCAGATGCCTATAATAAGACTAACCCAACAATAGCAATCACCATCAGAACCCCAGCAAGGACGCAGATGCTGATGAAGACAAAGTCACTGGTATCTTGAGCCTTGCTTTCATAGACATCTGCCACGCCTACATCCTTTGGCTGGGACTCCACCAGATTCTCAGCATACTGGTTCAGCCTATAGGAATTAGAGCCCGAGATCAGATTCACAAGGGCCTCTTTCCTTTTAGGCTCACATTGCACTTCGTATTGATGAATATCCTCTTGGTTTCCATCGGAAAAGTCAATGTACAGAATGCTGACAATCACAGACGTGTTGTTTCTTTTCTAAAAGAGGGAAGGAAAGAACAATTTTTAAAAATAAAACTGTTTCTGGTACATAAGGCCTTGAATACAGATAAATAAGGCCATTAGACCAAGCTGAAGATGGGCAGCAACAAGTGACAAATGATGGCTTTCAGCATTCAGTCCTGTAGTGCCAAGCGGGAAGCAAAACTGGATGCTTTTCGAGCCCTTGCTGGGCTGCCTGGCACAGCTTCCCAGGAGACCGGTGGCAAGACGACTTTACAAACTTACAGGTAAGGTTTTTTTGAGGGAAAATTGTGCAATACTTTTGCAATTTCTCAGTGTGATAAATGGGTAGGCTGGCTAGAAACGGTACTAAGCTTTGTGGATATACAGATGAAGTTTTGAGTAAAGAACAATGCCAATATTTTTGTGAGCACATACTGAGATAAGGATCCACTTAGAACATATTATAAAATGATTTAAATAGAGCCATGGTGTGCAAATCATTTAAGCTGCTTCGGTATTTTTTATTTTTATTTCTGGGATCACCACCGGCAGGGAAATCTTCTGTAGCTGCCCTAATGAACTATAAAAGAATATGTTTTACAGGTTGTGGTACCTATCTTGTGGGACAGAAATCCTTGACCTTTTGAGCCTTTGGGAAGGCTGTACAAATCTGGGTTTTTCCCCTTCTCCTTAGGTTTTAAGGGCATATTGGTAGGGGAACCCAATACAGTGTCTGTGATTGAAGATAATGCACGAGCTGCCTCAGCTTTTGTACTTGTGCATTTATTATGTTTGCTTGTACTTGTACATATGATGTTTTTATTGTTTTGTATTGTGTTCCACCCAGAGTTATTTGCTTAAGATTGCTGGCATTATAAAGTTCTTAAATAAAATAACATAGATGAGCTGAAATTCACAACATAAACAACTCTCTTTCCTTCCCTGATGATAAATGCCCAGTTTATGTGCACAAAGACTGTACTAAAATTCTGAGGCCAAACTGACTATCGTGAAGTGGAACATCCATTATGGCTTTTTAAAAAACTTAAAAATAGCAGAAGGAGGTTGATGCCTTAATTGGACTGGGTAGCGGTCAGTGACCCTATCGGGATACTTTCTTTCTGGAAGCAGTTCATTATCAAGGGAGGATTTTCTCTCAACGCAAAGAAGCAGAATGATCATTAGTACCTCAGTAGGGAATGAAAGGGTTAAGTTCCATTTCCCTGTCTGTGGTGATCCCAGAAATAAAAATTCCCAAACAGGTTAAATACAAAAGATGGAATGTTAAATCTAGTCTGGTCCTCTGTTTTTTATTATATTATCTGAGTATGTTTAAATATAAAGTGAACATCTGGAATTATTTTGTTTAGTAAACAGACTATAGTTTTCCATATAAACTAATGCTTTTCTTCACAATTTCTTTTTTAAAAAAATCATTTTCTCAAACTATCAGCCAGAGAATGAGAATGGGCTTGTGTCCTTGAAAGAAAGTAAGCTACAATCAACTTTCTTATATAGTTTTACATACCATATATGGTAGAGAAGAAAGAAAGAAAGAAAGAAAGGAAGGAAGGAAGGAAGGAAGGAAGGAAGGAAGGAAGGAAGGAAGGAAGGAAGAAAGAAAGAAAGAAAGAAAGAAAGAAAGAAAGAAAGAACAGGAGGAGGAGGAAGAAGCAGCAACTTACAAATCTCACAATAAATAAAATAATAATAATAAATTAAGTATAGAGGAAGACCCAATATCCCAGTGACTACTTGACCAAATGGATGCTTCAATAGGGCATTGAGCAAAACTATGTGTTCTGAGTCATTAGAGATTTATAGGTCAACACCACATATATTTTCATGTCATAAATTACCATATCTTATAGGTATATCCAATGCACAAAAAGGCAAATTAACTTTTCCTTTTATCTTCCTCTCTAAAATATCAGAGAGATTTTTTTAATGTGTATATGTATACATGAATGGGTATAAAACTTATCAGGAATCTTTTGTGTGCTACTTGGAGTGAGTTCATTGGCAATATACCAACATATCTATGACAGATGATTCAATATATTAAATAAACATCTATACTAGATGACCTTTTCTTCAGTAATAATCATTTTCGACTTCTGCCTTAATTGTCCAATGATATGAGTATATCATGGTTAATCTCATGAACTTGTTAGTCTTGCAGTTTCTAATTATTTGTGCTCAGCTAGCAAAGCCAATGGCAGTGTCGATCGGTGAGGAGGGCTTCAGAGAAGACGATTTTCCTCACCAAACCTCTGAAACACATTCAGCAGCAGATGCTATCATGATCAAGATGTTACAGGAGCAATGGACCTTTCTGTGGTTTTCATAATAACACAACTGCTACTATATATGGGACATGGGTAGACAGCTCCTTTCATCTTGGCTGAGCATTAGTAGCTAAAACTCTGCCCTTTCAACACCGATAACGTACTTGCGGTTCTGTGCCACAGGTTTCAAATCTTGCATGTATCCGAAAGGTCAAGCCAACCACTTGTGCAGGGCAGGAGGGGACTCCTAAGTAGATTTTATTTCGCTCCAGCTGAGCCAAAGACTGTGTGAGGATTTGGATCTGAAATTCTGTCCTTGTGCAGCTGACATTCATAGGGACAACTACATTGAGGAGAAACAAAACAAAGAAGGAATCTCTGAAATTACACAATCATAACAAACAGTCAGTGGCAACCTCTGGAGTTAATGTGCTTGGCACAATACTATTCATAAAGTAGAATACATGCTTTCTTCTAAAGTCTTTCACACGGAGCAAACTACTACCCCAACTTAGAGATAATAAAACCAAGTTGGTCTACCATGGATATAACCTACCATGTAGTTCTTGTGCTACAATTCCCCATATAGTATCCCCTAAATTCCAATACTTTGGGAATCTACATGAATATATCACGCCAGAGAGTTTTCTGCTGACATTAGATTCTCTGGATGTGACAGGATTGTGAAATTGATTAGGAAACAGGTTAGGGTTAGGGTTGGGATCTCATGATCTCTAGTTTCCCCAAGGAATTGGTGGGCAACAAAAGATTGCTGTTGTTGTTTTTGAAAACACGACCAAGTGTACATGCCAAGTGTATATGTCTTTTCAGTCAGAATACTGAACTTAGATAGAAGCATAGAACATAGAACAGCAGCCCAAAAAGCCAATGCAATCCTAAATTGCAATAATAGAGGGATTCAATCAAGATCACGTGAAGTACTAATACCACTCTGAAATGGTAGGGCTTCCTGCTATCTACAGTACACCAGAGATAAGGGAATAGTTTTCTACAGAGATTAATAGTTGTATGGTGGAGTTTTATATCACTGGCAGCAATAATGTAAGCAGATCATCCATTTAAAGCTTTAAATTTTCAAGACCAAAAGAGAAAGAGAAATAGGTCTAAAATTTGTCTAAAATATATTTTGGTAGAAGTTTTTCCAGCTGTGGTCTCTGCTTTTGCTGCAGTGTTGAAAACTGGTAACCACAAGAAGGCCAAAGAAGAATCCCAGAGGAGTAACCAGGCTAAATTTGACATAATCATCAGAACTAAACAACTACATTTTTGGCTCACCAATGTTGCTAGAGATTAACACCACTGCCAGAGAGATTATACATAGTGGGCAGCCCCATTTATATTAAAGCAGTGCTTGGGAAATTTTATTTCCTTTTGTGATTGGAGTTCATTTTTCACCGCATAGTGAGAAATCTTGGAATAATTTCAGTCTATGATCATATCCCTAGCACCAGTTTAAATTTCTCAGTATGGAAAAAAAGGTGCATTTTTAACCTATTCGTTTGGGGGGATAAAAACAATGTTTTCATAAAAACAATGCCAGGGCAAAGGTACAAAGCTGAGCTGATGCCTTCTGCAAACACATAACAGATGGATCTCAAACTGGTCCCTTTATGAGTACAGAGAAAAGAAGTTAGTACATATTCTAGGACCTCATACTTTAGTTAGAAGAAATATTTAGAAAAATGTTTTGAACAGCATCTATAGTTTGAGATGATACCACTGATATGTCTATAGAATAATGATCAAACATAATTCTTATAGAGAAATAAGGTACAAATCTTGTATTACATACTGGATATTTTTTAACACCCTCAAAATATTAAGACTGATATATGCGTGGATGTAAAATTAGGACAGAAAAATAACTGCAAAGAAAGTAGATAATCCTGAACACCACAACCCAATTCTAAATCGGCTACAAAAATAAGGTAACTCAAATAATGAAGTTGTCTGCATTTACGCGGAACATCTCTGGAACTGCTCTCAGGCCATAAAGCTGGACATTCTGCTGGTGTGAAAAAAAATTCTATCCAATAATAACAACAATAAAATACAATAAAAATGCTACAGTGAAAATAAAAGTGTATATGATGAGCAAAATCAAAAATGCTCATAAAGATGCAGTTCCTGGAATGGTCAAGAAGGAGTTGAGGCAACAGGAGACCTATTCATGGACACATAGAGTTTCAGTGAAGGTGGGGAAATTTCCAATTAAAACATTCAAATCTAGAACATTCAAAACAATACCTTTAGCAGGTTCTGATTCAAACTGGAACCTTCTGGTGCATTTAAAAGAATGTTTATACGGAACAATGGAAAAAAAAAATAAAGTTGGCTGACATAAGTATACAATGTAGGAATTAGTTACTGTGGATTTCATTATTCAGTGAAAGCTAATTTCCATATAGAAGCATTCTAGAACCTTTGTGAGCTAATTATCTTCAAACCTTTTTGCTTTTCTCTTGATCCTCACATTTTTAATTTATTTTATTCCACATAGTTTATCCAATAATAGAGCTTACCTCCAAAATATGCTACCGAGAAACCTCGATTGGCTGTATTCCTGTCAGTGTGAAGAACCAACAGCAAGTTGTTTCTACTGGATATAATTGGAGATAGCATTTCTCTCCCACACCACTTTCCTAGCAGAGATGCCTTCTCAGTACCTCCATCAAACACAGCCAAATGGTCATAATCACAACCATCTGTCAGACTGTTCCGTCCCTCGAGATCCAGGTCCAGGAAAAAAACTTTGATTCGATAACCTAGCGGCAACTGGATGGTCCAGCGACACTTGATATTATTGGGGTAAGAGTGTGGATATTGAGGACTGGAGAAATTTCCTTTGACAGCAGTATATACCTCCTGACATGCACCTGGTTGCAAAGGAAAAACAAATGAAATGCAATGGCAAGCAACAAAAACATTCATTTTATTGTGCAGGACCACCTAGAAATTTCATCTTCAAACTTCTTCCTTTAGTTCAATGCATTTTTAAAAATAGTTTCCTGTCTTCTCAGACTTGGTTTGAAGCTATGATACAAGGAATACAATCATACACCATTAAATTGGTGGCCTAACCTAAAAATAGCTAAAACTGGAAAAGTGGGCCACTATGAGTAGCTGATAGTAGGAGGCAGCTATCTAAGCCTATTGTCAGAAGCCAATGTCAGGAGAATTTTATGCTAAAGTTCAGTCTAACATTGTCAGCCATTCAAGACAGACCAGATTAGGAAACTAAAGCCATTCATGCTAATGCTACTTTTATTATGAAGTCACAGTCACAGAATCTTGCAGGTCTGAATGCATTTCCTCCCCCCTTCTTAACTTCATGTTAACTAGGGAGGGTCTTGTCTGAGACAAGTTATTCAGGTTACAGTTTTGGCCCAGACTCAGATTTCTTTCATCTGAGTGTCCCAAAGCTGCTTTTCTAAAAGGCAACTGGACTTTCTTGGGGTTTTTTTTTTCCTTTGAAAACGTTTCGCATCCAAGAAGCTTCTTCACTTCTTCAGAGATGAGAGTTCCTGAGTTTCGTGCTTCCTCACCACCTCCACCACCTCAATGCCTGTCTCTTAATGTTCATGCTCCTGGGATTTTTACTCACATTTTTTTTTGTGTGTGGTCAAGATCTCCTCTGAATATGTGTGACATATCCTAAGCTGATCTGAAGCTTAAGTTCTCCAGAATATAGTAAATAAAGTGGCAGTATACTCAGAGAAAAAATATTCAGCATACTAAAAAAAATGATAACTTTATCAGAGGTAATGAATAATGGAGCTAATGTCATGTTGCCTTAGCTAGCATTGGGGAACCCTTCTATTAAGAACACACAAATTGCTTAAGATTCATTAAGAATCTTTCTTTCAATGTAGGCAGAATCTTATATTTTGGGCAAAGAATAGTGGATATCTATCATTTGATCTGATCAAATCTTTACTATGGGCATAGAGCAGCATAAGAAAATTGGGATAATTTTAAAAAGCTAAAACCTAAAAATAAAAAGCTGCACAGGCTTAAATAAACCTTTAAACATATTTAAAAACATGTCTCTCTCTCTCTCTCTCTCTCTCTCTCTCTCTCTCCCTCTCTCTCTCTCTCTCTCTCTCTCTCTCTCTCTATCTATCTATCTATCTATCTATCTATCTATCATTATCTATGTATCTCCAAAAGCCTAAAAAAAATATTGGGATTTATTTTCCGAGAAGGTTCCAAAATCACTTCATACATTTGGTATTATAATACTGATTTGTGATAAATATTGATCTTTATACTACACCTGAAAAGAAATATGCCTTGAAGCCTTTGTTAGCAATGTTAAAGTCTGATTTGAATACAACCAACAGTTCATGTGCAGAAGATACCACCTCTGGAGGTTTCGTGTTTCCACAGTAGTAACTGAGAAGCGTATCTTCCATTGTGGGCCCATCAAAGATGGCCACATAGTCAAAATTACACTGCTCGCTGTGTTCCATCTGGAAGTCAACAAAAATCAGTTTGATAATGGAGTTGGATGTTCCTTGGATGACCCAATGGCATTCAGCATTGTTGGGATAATTCTCTGGGTAATCAGGGCTTGTAATTGATCCAGACAATCCTGTGAGCACACCCCCACAAACATCTGGAAGCAAGAAAATACAATATGTATTAAAATAAAACACAGAGATAGAAATTAGAAAAAGTTCCTCTGTGGATTCCAGATGCATTCCTCCACATCGCAGAAAATAATCCTAACCAGGCAAGGAAACACTGGAGGAGTACAGGAAATAAGGAGTGCTATGCATGGGAGGCAATAAACAGGAGTGGTTTGCATATGTTTGTATGTATAAAAATATATGATAAATAAAATTACTGAGAGGTAGGAATCAGAATCCAGAGAATTGACCAGATTATGGCTGAATAAAAGAGAACATATAGAGCTCAGGATGGAACTGTGGAGTCCTTGGTGCTCTCTGGGTTTTGTTGCTTTCTTGCAAACATTTTATTACCTGACTAGGTAACATCATCAGTGGTAATTATGGATGTTGGAAGATTTAATATATAAAAGAAGGGATGTGCTAGTTCACTAAATCTGAAAAGCACTGGATGATGAGGTGCTCAGTTACCATACTTTCAAAATGAAAAAAAAAACTATTAACCAAAAAATTGTCATGGCATTTTTGCAACTGAAAGAAAAACATACTTACTATTAACCCCAAATGCAGCCTGGCTAAAAATAAATAAATAAAAAAAAATCCTATCTTCAGATTGTTTACTCCGGAGTAGTCATATTGAAATCAATAAGCTTTCCTTCCACATCATTAATGGTTTGGAGATTACAGCCTGGAGTTTCAATGGTTGGGTCATTTCTGCTTTCAATTACAGCAAGACAATAAGGAAGAGGCAATAAAACCACAGTGGGAGGGAGAGCAGGATAAACCCTGAAACCCTTTCCTGCTGTCATGACTTCTGAGTGGGAAAAAAAATCCAGTGTGATTTCTGGATCGGTGTTCACAAAATACCTCTGAGAAAAATGAATAAATGAATATGTTTGTGTGTGTATGCACGAGCTTACACTCTGAGTGCACTACTTTTGAAAGAAATCATTAGGACTTTGCATTGTGCATGACAATATCTGATGTTCCCACGATGCCATTTTTAAAGCTTTAATATAGAATGGTAACTGCTTTTGAGGGAAGTTTGAGCAAGGTTTTCAAAGCACTTTGGTCTCCAAAAATGACTGGCAAGTTGCAGAAACAGTTCCTGCTCAGCTATAAAACCGATGAAGTGATTTTTGCCGTTTTGCCAGTTTCATGCATCCCACTCCTAAAGTCTCATCCGAACGACGGACTCGTCAAGTTTTATCGATTATGTGTAGTACTTTAAAATTACTTTACAGTACAATGTAAATAAATAATTTAATATAGGACGGGAAATAAGTCTTCGAGTGGCAAGAGAAATAGGGAGTTAGCAAGATATCTCATCCAACTCGACTATCTCCGAACCAGGAGAACTCCCCAACATTTTAACTTATGCTCTACACTGGCAGAGAATGAACAATATTTAAATGGATATTTTGGAAATATGTGGCATTTATTTAATATTCTTACATACGGTCTCTTTAAGAGAGTTGTTTATAGAATTCAGAGGACAAGTACAAACCTTTTTATTTATTTATTTGTATCCCACCCTTATTATTTTTACAAATAACTCAAGGAGGTGAACATATCCAACACACCGCTCTCCTCTTTATTTCCCCCATAACAACAACCCTGTGAGGTGGGTTGGGCTAGAATAGAGTAACTGGCCCAGCTGGCTTTCATGGCTAAGGCAGGACTTGAACTCACAGTCTCCCACTTTCTAGCCTGATGCCTTAATCACTAGATAAACTGGCTTGGAATAATTTATACTAAGTTATTTCTAAGCTCCATAAATATGAATGGAGCAAACTACTTAATTACATGTTGATTTCAAGAAAAATATAAATATTGTAGATAGCAGGTTGCTTTCTAGATCAGTGGTTCTCAACCTTTTTAATGCCGCGACCCCTAACCGGTCGTAAGTCGAGGACTAAACCGGTCGTAAGTCGAGGACTAAACTGGTCATAAGTCGAGGACTACCCAACTGGTCGTAAGTCAAGGACTTTCCCTGCCCGGGAGTGCCGCACATGCGTGGTTCTACCCCCTGCACCGGCCGAGGCGTAGCTGGCAAGCGGCAGAGACGGAGCAGGCCGACCACCAGCTGGCCCAGCTCAAGGGAGGTAAGGCACCGACCGGAAAAGGGGAAAAAATGGCGGACAGCCTTGCTTGGCGACCCCCGTGAAATGGTCGATCAACCCCAAATGGGGTCGCGACCCATAGGTTGAGAACCGCTGTTCTAGATGCTTTTGGTAGTTTTGAAGCATTTCCCCAAAGGCCAGAGGAAAAGAACAAACTGTATTCATTATTAAACTGAAAATGAACTGTATTTAAAGCTAATTAAAGAATAATTTCTTGAAGTACAGATAAGTAGCATATTGCACCGGGAATCATGGGAAGTTGTACCTATTCTACAAGAGAAACTGAAAACACCAACCAACCCAAAGAATTATACACATTAAGCCATAGCTTGCTTTAACCACCATTGAATGAATCTAATGGTCAGGTTTGGACAATACTTTAGGTATAACCTATAGTTTGCAGAGCATGATGGCCAAGTTCACATATCACATAAAGTCAGAATCAACTACATTGTGTTTTAGAGATGTGTATGTCAAATGCTGGATTTATACAGCCCTCTAAGCATTAATGTGGTTTAATTGGTTTGGGGCTTATTAAGATCCATGAACAGTTAGCAAACCAGTTTGCTTATACAATGTCTATGTTTCTTTATGGTTACAAAAATTCCACAGTGGGGCTTTTACATATTGCCAGAAATTGCTTCATCTCATCCTTTGTAGAAACTTACTG